CTCCCGTCCGGCAGGTTCTGTCTGCTGACGGCTCCCGCCTCGCAGGTTCTGTCTGCTGACGGCTCCCGTCCGGCAGGTTCTGTCTGCTGACGGCTCCCGTCCGGCAGGTTCTGTCTGCTGACGGCTCCCGTCCGGCAGGTTCTGTCTGCTGACGGCTCCCGTCTCGCAGGTTCTGGCTGACACGCAGGCCCCCCTCACTGCCATCAATAAGCTGCCCACGGTGCCCATGCTTGGTCTCACCCAGAGGACCAACACGGCCTACCAGTGCTTCTCCATCCTGCCCCAGTCACCCACGCACATCCGCCTGGCCTTCCGCAGCGTCTACTGCATCGACATCTACTGCCGCAGCCGGGGCGTGGTGGCCGTCCGCGATGGCGCCTACAGCCTCTTTGACAACACTAAAATCGTGGAGGGATTCTACCCGGCACCAGGCCTTAAGGTACAGTGCCGGCTTTCCGACGTCTTTGCCAGGAAGATGGCGTCTCCATACAGAAAGAGTTTTAATAACTTCACAAGCAATCTTATTAGCTACCGATGTTTCCCGTTTCTATATTCGGAGCCCCCCAAGCAAACACTGTCCCTCAGTATTACCGTCCCGTTCATACCCAGATCGACACCCTTGCCTGCATTTGTAAATCATAACTGGCTTCTTTATTCACTTCCCAAAGCATTATGGCTAACTACTTTTGAAACACAAGCTGGTGCTCATTAAAATGTTAATCCGAGGCTGTGCTTCGGTTGTGATTCTGTTTCAACATAAGCTCTGCATCGTTTTGAACTTCACTTTGATGTGCTGGGAAGAGCCGTCTGTCATTGCAGCTGTTCTCCCGCCTCCTTCCGCAGACGTTCCTGAACATGTTTGCAGACAGTAACCAGGATGCCAGGCGGCCCTCTGTGAACGAGGACGACAACCCGCCGTCCCCGGTGGGCGTGGACGTAATGGACCGTCTCGTGTCCCAGCTCCCTGTCAGTCACACACATGGTCTCCTCAGACTCAGGTCTTCTTCCTCTTCTTTTCAGTTTGCAAAGCAGTCTCTAGGGGGCGCGGTTTACCCACCCCTCACGTCCCCGCCCAACCCATACCACCAGAACGTGGTGCCTTCGCCCTCCATGATGCCCACACCATCCCCTGGTAAGTAAGCAGGACAGTGGCTCCATCTAGTGGTGGTCTAGGGTATTAACAACAGATGAGCGATTCTGTGTGTGTGTGTGTGTGTGTCCTTTGCACAGTCCTCTCTGTCATCGCACACTTCACTGTCTTGTTACTGTGTTGTCTCACCCAGAATGAGCTCCTTTGACTCTGCTGCCTGCTCCATCGTCCCCCACCACCTATCTTATGGCATCTGATGGACTCTTTTCTGAATGTTCATTGATCGGTCACAGATTCCTGAGCCTGACAGGAAGCCAGTGCAGGAACCTCAGAGTAGGGGTCATGTGTTCAAACTTCCTGCTCCTGGTCACAGCATGAGCTGCTGCGTTTTTATTACGCTGTATGGTGTTTAATATGCTGGTTAACTTAAGCTAAAAGTCATGATTGTCCAATAGGAATGCTCCTTACCTAAACTCTTATTGGATGACCATCACTTGTAGCATAAGATAACCCAGCTAACTGTGAAATCCTGCTTTGTGCGACACCCCCCCTGGTGCCAGAACAGACAAAACCACCGCAAGTGTCTAATGTTTTTTCAAATGACCACTAGTTTAGAGAGCTTTTGTCCTTCTAGCTGCTAAATATACTCATTATTAAAACCATAAAGTTGTCTGCCCGCTACCTTAGAATCTCCATTGAATAAGTGTTTGAAAAATGTGTAGGCGGAAATCCAGGCTTGTTGTGTGTTGATTGACGGCCTTGGTGTGTAGCTTTCCGGGGGGCATTACAGGAGGCCCTGATGAAATGACTTCCTGGCTTCTCATCTTGTCCCTCTCTAAGGAATTTGGTGTTTTGGGTGTCTGCCTGTGGTCAGGGTGCCCCCTGCTGGTCAGGCTGTCCTTCCAGTCTGCAGTGGCATGGAGCTGCTAGAAAAGAAGCCTAATGGAATTAGGAGGGAATTTGTTATATTTCATGTTATTCAGCTTTTTTATTTGTATGTGACATTCTTGTGACCTGGAGTGGTAAAGTCCACTATTCTGGGTCATTTGACACTCATTCTGCCACTTAGAAATGTACTGATGCCTATGGCGGAGGATGATGGTGAAGAGGATGATGAGGAAGGTGTTTTTATTGCTGATAAAGATGGATGTGGCCGTCTCGTCTCCAGACCTTGATGCCCTGCAATTTGTGCCTTTCAGGCACTCTGGATCCCAGCTCACCCTATACCATGGTATCTCCCGGAGCACGACCCGGAGGCTGGCCGGGGTCTCCCCAGGTGTCTGGCCCCTCGCCCAGCGCTCGCATCCTCGGCATGTCTCCGGGTAACCCCTCCCTCCCCTCCCCCATCCCGGATGCCTCTCATTCGCCGCGAGCCGCCAGTTGTAAGTACCAACAGCCTTCGAGGTGTAGAGGTCCATGCGGAGTCTGATTGGTTGGTTAATGCCCCGCCTCCTCTGCCTCCCCCCCCCTCCAGCCCTATCAACCAGCATGCTACCCCCCCGTAAGCTACCTCAGCGCTCCTGGGCGGCCTCCATTCCCACTGTCCTTACCCACAATGCCTTGCACGTGCTGCTGCTGCCCTCGTCCACGCCAGGCCTGGTCCCGGCGTTGGCTGGCAGCTACCTCTGCTCTCCACTGGAGCGCTTCCTGGGATCTGTCTTCATGAGGAGGCACCTTCAGAGGATCATCCAACAGGAGCCCAACGTGAGTCCTTACCCCCCCTTCCCTGTCCCCCTGTGGCCCCTGGAGGGCTGACGGGGCCCCTGACTTGTCTGCCCCCCCCCGTCGCAGCTGAACATCGTCGCGTCCAGCGAGCCCGGTGTCATCATGTTCAAGACGGAGGGTCTGAAGTGCCGAGTGGCGCTGAATCCCAAGACGTACCAGACGCTGCAGCTAAAGGTGACGCCCGAGAATTTGGGGCCCTGGTCCCAGGAGGAGCTGCAGATGCTGGAGAAGTTCTTTGAGACAAGGGTGAGCGGCGTGCGGCCGCCTGCCGGCCGTGGGCTTCCTTTGCAGTCTCGTTTGTTTGTGCATCTGTGGCTCTGTTCGGGTTCAGGCGATAGATCTGGAGCTCTGTCCTCCAGCAGTTGCCGGATGGTGACGGCCAAGCTGCTCATCTTATCTGCTGGTGTAGAGCTCCTGCCAGCAGGAAAGCTGCTTCTCTCTCAGTCTGCAGGAAGTCTGTAGAATAAGATGCCGATCCAGCTAGTGTTCATTAAGAAATGCGTAGGTGGAGCCGCAGGGTCACGGGCAAACGGGACTGGGGGTGACTGGGGGTGACTGGGGGTGGATGAGTCTACAAACGGGAAGTGATGTTAATGGCGTCTGGTCTCCCGCCAGGTGGCTGGTCCTCCGTTCAAGTACAACACACTGAATGCCTTTACCAGGCTGCTGGGGGCCCCCACCAACATCCTCCGCGACTGTGTGCGCATCATGAAGCTGGAGATGGTGAGAGTTCCAGGCTGCTTGGATCGCCAGAGCAGGGTCCCGGGCTGAACCCCAAGGGCCACCTGGCTCTCTCCGTAACAGCACCAGGCCTGCTGACTCTCTATCTGTTTTTTAAATCTCATTTTTATTACCACCTTTTTATATTTTATGTCTTTTATTTGTGTAGTACTCTGGTGTGTCACTGTATCATTGTCCTTCTTCCATGACTTTACTGGGTCCCCTTTCCCCCAGTTCCCAGACCAGGCTGCCCAACTGAAATGGAACGTGCAGTTCTGTCTGACCATCCCCCCCAGCGCACCCCCCATCGCCCCCCCAGGGACTGTCGCTGTGGTGCTCAAATCCAAGATGCTGTTCTTTGTAAGTGAGCTGCGACCCGCTGTCCTCCTGGGCTGTGGGCTGCGACCCGCTGTCCTCCTGGGCTGTGGGCTGCGACCCGCTGTCCTCCTGGGCT